TTGCTTTTTGTTGTTTTGCTTTTTGTTGTTTTGCTTTTTGTTGTTTTATTTTTGTTTGTTTGTCTTTTATAAACAAATAAAAGCAGCAAAAACATCTGTTATTTAGAAAATATCATTTGACAAATTCAGTTTGAATCAGTCGTCGAGTTTGCGATTCACGATATCCGGATACGTGTGGACGGGTCTCCTGTTTACGAAGAGAGAACTGAGAATGTAACCTTTTCAGCAACGCACTATCTGAAAGCTCAAAGCAGTGGTTATCAAAACGTGAAATAAAAACAAAAGGTAAGGACATTTTTTGGCTGGTTCCACCCTCATCTCTCGAGTTGAATCGCATGCATGCCCAATGACTCATCGTGAATCTATGACCATGCGTTTTATTCATGGATTTGTTTAGCTCAGACAATCAGTCCAATCGTTTTGCTGACTTATGTCTTTGATCTCAACTCATAAATCCGCAAAACAAATATTTCATCCAATAGCTGACAGAACTGTTAATGTTGATACAGTTCAAGTGTCGTGACGCGATGTAACTGTCTGCACACCGAGTTGACCTTTGATTGAACATCGCCCGAAAAAACGCGTTTCAAAAAGAGTAGATGAAAAAGTGTGTATTATGTCGTGAATTTATTATAGTGACAAAAGTATTATATGAGAGCAAATTGATAAAAAAAAAATATGCTAAGCTCATGCATGCACACATTGCATGATCTACGGCACGATACTCGACGTCTGAGTATCAAAAACAAATCGTGTCTGTTGAGGGAAGAGCTGAGCACTTCAGCTGTTTTGCATTTTTTTGTGATGATGTAAAACAAAACGCCTTGACATGTACAGTTACACGGCTTAGACAAGCTTCAGACAAAGTAGATCGGTAACTGTCATGTTTTAGATTGAACCGAATCAGCACGTTTGGTGACTCGTAGACTCCATAGATATGCTGATAAAAGAACTGAAGAGAATATTTCAAGTGACAGATGTAATAATTCACTTGGCGTCCTAATCAAACAAAATCGGAAAACRTTGATACGTTTTTAACGGTAAAAAGATAAGCGCTGGGCAGTTGTCACGCCTATTTTTGGATTTTGTTCAGCCGTTTGTTTCTTGATCGACCTATTAAACGGATGGGAAGGTTCCCTCTTTATCGTCTTAGAGTACGACTTTAATAGGAAATTTAAGAAAAAATCAAAGGACACAAAATTATTTCACTTTTTCAATGAACGGGGGTCATCAGGCGTTTTTAAGAAAAACATCTAGTGAGGTATATAGCAGTTTAAATATGACCCCATTTCCATGCATTACGTACGGGTAGACTGTCTCACACATCAACCCGCGAGAGCGACATTTCGTTTAAAAAAAATCAAGGCAAATTGATAAAAGTCGAGGTCTTGCTTAGCATTAGTGGAAAAAGTGACATTCAATGGTCGTCCGAAAAATGACCCCGCTGGGGAAGCTCCCACAGACAAAACATCATCTACAAGAGATTTCTAATCGCCATGAGCAGCCAGCGTTGAATTTTAGAAATGATGCCCTTTAAAGATTTTTCAGTTTTTTTTTTCAATTTTCCATTTACGAGTCACAACTGAAGGTTTATTTTGACGTACTTACAATAGTAACGAGAGACAGCACGCTTGGCAATGTGCTCACTTTCCCAGTATATATATTCGAATGACAACATGCCTTTGCTGATAATCACAATATGTAAACCCAGCATGATGCAAAAATGTGTCATTTATTAAAGGACTAATGGTCTCACTTTGGGAAATTTGATTGACCCATTAATTATCGAGTTTTAAAACTCTCTCTCGCTATGACTTAATTCTACACCCAGATAATTCAAATCCTTTGTTTACATTTTATTCATACGTGGATTCAATAATGGATTATATGCAAAGTACTACCATATTGATGGGAACAATTTTAAGCAGCTCAAAGAAATTAAATGCGCTGCACACCCTGCTGCACACCAGCTACTTGAAATGACATCCATTTTTATCTTATTACAAAACTGGGAATTAAATACGCACTACTAAGAGGTCACTCTTTACCAAGCCCTTTAGTAAAATTCATAGTATTTGTAAACATTGTCTTTTACGGTAGTAAGAAAGCTATCGARCGCGTGGGATAGTTAAATTTCACTATAATTTTGAATGATCGAAATATCTGTCTGCTCAGAATCTATCAATTTCAAAGCGTCGCGTGGCGGGAGTTTGTTTCCGAGTCACAACAAAAGAATGTCGACGTTCAGCTGTAGCCATTAATAGGAATAACTGTTAGTAACCGCAGCTAACAGAAAGCACGTTTCAGCTCGCCACCAAATAAATATTAACCTTGCGGAGAAAAATGTACAAAAGTACAAGAAAAAAAACAAAACAAAATGATGTCATGAACAAAAGACGCTGGTAAAGGAATGCGACGCTAACTCGCCCTTATCAGCTCAGGGTATCATTTAACAGAGACGCCAAAGGGGGGCACAACTCAAAAGTTAAGTAAACTTTTCACTGTTGGGCATAGAAGTTTTTGTATTGCTTCTAATTGAAGCGTGATAGAGCTGAGAATTAACGGTCAAAATCAACGGTTAGTTTATCTAAAGTGTGTAAACAGGAAACAATTGTGCTGAAGAGAATAAACAAACAGAGTCGTTGAGCTAAAACACGTGTGATTGGCTCATTAGCTGTCGTACGTGCGTGTGACCCCCCTTCCACCCACGCAATGACACTTCATAAAAAGTAAGGTGTTGTTGCAGTCATCATTCTTCAACAAGAAGCCGARGAAGCACCATCTAGCTAGAGAGCACATTTTCTGCAACAAGTCTGAAATGGCGTCCCTTTGTTTGTTCATTGTATTGGCACTTGCCGTACACTCCMAGGCATATGTTCGTAGAGACCGTAAGTACAGTATTGTTATAACAATTYTTGATCGCACAAAAAATATATACATATAAAAAACGCAGGGCAGTGTGGCTGCATGATCCGCGAGGCAATGGAGACAGATTAGTACCGATGGTTCCACTGAAAGGCCATAGTGTAGGTTAAAATCTGACCCTGACCACTCTATTTCAATCGCAGGTAACATTTTGGGAAATGAAAATAATATAGTTTTTTCGTTTCTATTCAAGGTTCAGACACTGAAATGAAAGAAAGTTTATTTGCTGAGCTTTTGAGTCTAGACGAACCTGTCAAACGTGTACAAGGTAAGTCGAATTTTCATTATTTGTACTTTGCAAATCTGGACATCTTTTAGTTTTCTAATTAATGAGGTCAAGTGCACATATAGTTTCAGAGCTATTAAAATTATCAGAGCGTACGTTGCTTACTTTAAGAGCGTGACATTGTGGTTTGTCGGAGTAGCGGATTGGGCCATTTTTGTGCGCTTTTAAGATATTTGAAAATTGTCGTTATTCCTTCAGTTAAGAGGGAATCAGCACGAGCAAGTGCATAAGAATTCGCCGAGCGATTCGTTTATACAATGAAATAAAATAGCCTTCGTTGCGGTAGGCCCTCCCCTCAGCCCAATCCCTTTACCCCAGGCTACAAATAAACAAAACTGGCGCGATGTCCGTTATCTTTGTCGCTCACTCAAACTTAAGTCTTTTGTCTCTTTTATCGTCTATTCAAATCCTTGGACGTAACCTATGAACCAAGCACATGTATAAGCACATAGCGAATCACAATTCGCTCTGCAAAATCAAACGCTCTAGTAAGAAGAGCGTTGTTATTCACGCGCTATACGGATTTGAAAAATACCGCCAACAACACGCGTCGATGATGCCCCAAGACTTGTCACACAGAGAACATGCGTGACTGATTGCCATTGCAATCTCTGGTCTTGATTGGCTAAAGGCCCGGTTAAGACGTCGATTTTTTGTTGCGTTTAATCTAATTGCTTGAGTTGAATTTATGAGTATTTGACATTGGTAGATTTTGTTCAGCTYAAGATTTTGATTTGATATTTTGATTTTGTACAATTTCATGAATTAATTAAATTCGTTCACTATTTAGCTTCCATTAATCTACTCAAACTATTGCACAGAATGGATTGCAAACTAGGAGCATTTATACGACTTATATCAAACCGACTTTGATTGGTTGATTGTTTGTGAATGTTCTTTTTAGTGCGGGTGCCCAATTTGAGTATAGGACACTTGTTGTCTGGAGAGATTTGAGRCGTTAATTGAGTTATGATTTATTTTATTATTTAACATTAAATTTTTGATGCGAAAGCGAGTGGCATTAAGTCTTGAAATTTTATTYAAAAGCCGACTGCAAGACTTTTGTCGACTTGGCCCCTCACGCGTGTTCTGGCTTGGTCAGAGATGTTGAAGGAAATCTGGATCAAAGTTACTGTGAAGACCATAAGAATAATCCTATTGTTACCACACTATGCAAAAGATCCTGCAGTCCTTGTAAGTATAATTTCATATATCAGCCTTAAAGGCCCTCAAAGGTTCTGATGTATCAGAAAGTACCCTTTAAAAAGAGATAATCAAAGCTTCTTAGATGCACGTGTTCCTTAAGGATGTTTAAAATTGAAAATTAATGAGTCTATACACACGGGCGAAAGTCCCATTCCCCATAACAGGCTAGTAACGAGGTATATTTTTTGCTGTTGATCCGGATCAAAACGGCCTAAAAACGTGATCCCGACCCCAAAACTCCGTACATTTTGAGCCCTGAATCCCCTTATCGAATCGTTGAAAAATATCATTGATCCCGATCCCAGTTAAAAAACCTTTGATCCCAGGTTAAATCCATTTGATCCGGATCCTGGGCCTAAATCCTGATCCCTGATCCCAAAATAGTCCAAAAAAAATGACGCTGATCCCTGATCCCAAGACCTCGTTACTAGCCTGCCATAAGTGCGGTGAAAAACTACTAACAATATTTAAAATTAACAATAA